GCTCATTTGGGCCAAACTTAATAAAAACAAAGTTTTATCATCAAAATCTTTGTTATTGAGAGGAAAGACCAGAGGCTTTATGTAAAAGTTATTTTTCAATCCTTTTTTTGAACCTTGAACTTTTTGGTTAAAAATTTTGTTTTTCTGGTGTCATCAAGTAACGACCATATAGTCTGGGAAATTTCAGTCTTTTTGTGGTGAAAAACGCATTGATTTGGAAATTCTTGCAAAAATCAGCTAATTGTTGGATTTTAATGAAACTTTCAGGACTTCTTCATAAATGAATGAAATTATTTTTGAAATATTTCTTTTTTAGAAAATTAAAAAAAAAAAATTCTTTTTAACATTTGTTCAAAACACACACAGACTTATATAATTTTATGAAATTTAGAGAAATTTTTTTTTTTTTTTTTTTTTTTAGAACTTAATGCTTATAAGATTAAAATCCTAGACAAATTTAAATCCAGAAATTGTTTTAGTCAACATGACCCTTCAGTTACAGAAAAAAAATCTACCCTGAATTGTAAAATAAAAAATGCAATAAAACTAAGACATTTTAATTAGAAATGCTTTTTAATTGCTTTTAAGATAGGGTCATTTGCTTTTTAGGCCCCTGCACTAAATATGTAATAAAAATTTGTCTATGAAATGCTTTTTGCTTTATTGCTTCAAATTCGTGAGTTCTATGATAAATTACCTGAAGCCGAGTTCTTTGTGTGCTTCACATGTAGGTGGCCATTTGCAATCAGATAAGGGCATGTAATACCATCAATTGATAAATATTCAGGAGTTCAGACTGTACTTAAGGATTTGCTTGAAGTAACATGCAATCTACTACCAACAGTAGACATGATAAGATTGTGATTGTGTTAAGCTGTGATCTATTGTGTTAATGTGAGTTCTTTTTCTTTCCTCAGTCAGGACTCAATTTTGAAGTCTTTGTGTTTACATAACAGAATTAACTTGATTTATTGATTATAAAATAGTCTTCCTCCAGAGACTAATTGATAGAAACATTTATCCCCATCAAACATAGGAATGTAAAACCAGTAAAATTTGGGAACTCAAAAAGACTGTATATGGATTAGAAGATTCCTCTTGAGTTTGTTTTCTCTGACTCGAAGAAGAGATGATCAAATTCTGTGTAAGTCTAATTATATATGATCATGGTGTTTCCTTTTGGGATGCTGAATATGGTCTTGAGGGCATTCTGGTATATTTTGATGATAATCAGTTGTGGGAGAGGAAAACACAAACCTTTGAAGAAAACCTGAGGCATATATTGGCTATAAGTAGTGAACAATCATCTGCTTTTATGTACATAGGCAGTGAACTGAATCAGATCAGCAGATGCACTGACAAAGAATGAATCATTGAGTGCAGCTTGGTTTTAAAATACTTGAAGAAGTATATATATATATATATATATATATATATATATATATATATATATATCGGTGTAGGAGAACGAATGGTAAGATTACAGTGTTCAATACACAAAGTAGAGCCATAAATATTTATTTATCTTATGCAATGTTACATTAGAACATGCACATATCCACTACAAAATTGTATATTTTTGTTTCAATGTCAAAAAAAGGGAAAAACTTTTTTTAGACGTCTCATCTAAGTTGCCGTGGGTGGACGAAAAAGAAGGGAAAAAGAAGAAAGAAAGAGGCTATGGGAAGAGGATGAGGTGATAAGCGCTACTTAATGCATTAGATTCCCTTCTGTCGCCTCTCTCTGTCTGTTCTACAAATACTTTCATGGCAATTGCTCCGAGGAGCTGCATTCACTGGTTCCCAGACTTCGAGTTCAAGTGCCCTACGAGGCTGGCATCCCGCTCTCACCCCTTCACTGTCGAAACTCCTAAATGTAGCCATCTCTTCTACTCTAATAGCTTCATGTCTTGCACCTCTCACCTGTGGAATCCCTTCCCTATTCCAGTTTCCCTGAGAGCTATAATCTCCAGCTATTCAAGTGTAATGTCAATCGACATCTCCAGTTGCCTTGATCTATCCACTATCCTTCTTCTCATACCCTCTTCTATCACTCCTATCTGATCTTGCTCTATATTTTCTGTAACCCCTTGCGTCCTAGTGGCTTCCCGCCTTGCTTGGGGTGAAATGCTTAAAAAAAAAAAAAATATCTCTACATTTAAATTCTAGAAGACATTTTATGAAAATTTCCAAAGAACAGAAGTGGGGGATATTTGATTCGATAACTGTATTTCTGAATAAAAAATTTTTTTAGTAACACCGTAATTCCCCACCTGATGAGACGTCTAAAAAAAGTTTTTCCCTTTTTTTGATGTTGAAACAAAAATATACAATTTTGTAGTGGATATGTGCATGTTCTAATGTAATACTGCATTATATATATATATATAGTGTGTGTCCATAAAGTTAGTGTGCAATTTAAAATACTTAAGTATTTGAAATTTCACACAGACTTTATGGACACCTGTATGTATGTATGTATGTGTGTGTGTGTGTATATATATATATATATATATATATATATATATATATTCATGACAGATTTATTGGAAAAGATTTTTTTTTTACTTTCTTATTTAAAAAAATCTGGTATTAATTTACTTTTCTATTGAGACCCTTAATATCAGTGGCACCTGATGACTTTAAAACTGGGGCATGCAATCCATGATGACCGTTAATGGTTATGAAAGAAATTGGAAGAAATCAAAAAAAAAAAAACATCTTTATTCATTCTTTCATTTTTTTTTTTTTTTTTTTTAATTTCTTTGGCAAATTCATTGATCACTTTGTTATAGAAAGTATCAACCAGACAAACTACTTTCATTTTCAAAAGATCTTTATTCATGGAAATGAAACCAAATTACTCTATTTTCACTTTCAGAACAACTTGGATAATTATTCACTTGCTTCAATGAAGAAAATGAACACTTACAAATGTAGCAAGCACTGTTGGAATCAGATGTAGTAATTTGGTGTAGTGGAAATCAAATGCAGATTAAGCTGCCTACAACTACTGCTGTTGGTACCTGCCACTGTTGGTCAAAGAGATAATGTCTAGTGTGCTCTCTATAAAAAAAAAAAAAAAAAAAAGCAAATGGTTGCCCTGCTAGAACAGAGCCAGTGCGAACCCTGGGGCATCTGAGCACAAAGAAATAAAGTATCTAAGCTCACTCATGAAATAGTCAGGACAGTGAGCTGAGTGGTGTTAGTTATGCAAAGGATTTGTTTTGCTCACCAACTGCTAATGTTTTGGGGTCAGTAAAAGCAGGCACATTTTCTGAGAAGTAGTAAACCATGTTGAGTGGTTGTCATGTGATAACAATGGTTTCTGTCTGAGTTAAAGTAGGAGTGTTACCTGAAATCTGTTTGTCTTTGCTTGTGTTTTTGGTGTCTTGGCTACATTTATCCCTTATGTGTGGAAGTCCTGTTTGTGTCCTGCTTGTTTTGATCTCGTATTCAGCTCCTTTTGTGTTTGTTTCTGATGCTGCTAATTTTTCCGTCCCTCCTGAGCTGTGAGATGCCTGTTCGTTGCAGACAACCAGCCAATACATAGAAAATACATCATTTGATTACATCTGCCAGAACTTTGTTCAGTTTAAGTTTTCATATTATGTCTGTGATTTATTGGATGTTTGATTTGCAAAATCTGTGGTATAAACTGATAACACTAAATAACAAAGACTTGTGTGCTCAGTTGCAAAAAAGGCACTGAATTGCATGCATATTTGCTAAGAGAAAAGAAAAAAAATGAGCAGAAGTGTGATGCCAATTTGGAAACCTGTTATACCCAGGTTTCTGTTAGCAGTTTTTCACTGCGGGACCCCACTCCCTATCACCCATCAGTAAAAATGCTAGCAGATAACAGAGAATCTACATTGGTTGCGTTCCCTTTGAGTGTTTGTTCCAGGTGGTAGTCATTTCCTTTTGGTGAAAGTGTCACCTGCCGAATTGTCCCAAGTGTTATTTGCATTAGCACCGCACTCACTTTAAGTGAAAGTGTCACCTATCAATTGTGTATATTTGCATTTTGCTCCCTACCTGCCATATTATCATATCCACCTACACACGACTATGAAATGAAGAAATAGAATATTTTCAAAAAAATTATCATGAATGCAAAGAGGATACTGAAAATGATCAATAATTTTTTATTATGCTAAAACTATTTTGGGAAACAGATCTATGGTAAGCAGTGTATATATAATTATATATAATATATATATATTATAATATTTTTAAAAAATATGATTCCTTCGCTACATAAGGGTTCTCATGTTTCAAAAACGAGAGACCTTGATTCAACTTAATTTTAATAATTATATTGATGGTTTTGGCTCTCGTTTTTGAAACATGAGAACTCTTATGTAGCAAAGGAATCATATTTTTAAAAAAATATTATAATATAAGCTCTATTTCTGTATGGAGCACTGTTTTTAAAATTAAAAACAAAAATAGTAAGGAACCCAGATTATTTACGTGACGTGTTCCTTCCTATTTTTCTGCATTTTCATACATATATATATATATATATATATATATATACATACACACATATATATATATATATATATATATATATATATATATATATATGAACCCTTTATGGCTGCTTAATATTAGAATAAGTTATTTTGATTGATTCTTAAATTTAATCAAACTTTTCTCTAAAATAAATGGAGAACTGAATTTATTGCTGAAACCTCTCCAAATCATTATTGCTATTAAAATATTGATCTATTGACAAAAGAGAAATAATGAGATTGTTAAAGTGAACAGAATTATTGCCCTTGATTGGATAGACAGGAAGTGATAAACAGGAAGTAGATTGATAGATGTTATTTATTCAAACCAAAGTGGAGACGGTTTCCTTTAATTATGATGATTTTAACCTTCGATACAGTGGATTGTATTACAAATTATTTAATGAAATTTTAAACATTCTGTATTGAAACTACAAATAAAAATTGTCTCACCCTAACACTGCTTTTGTTTAAATTTCAGGTATTGACACACGTCAGGACTTCATCTATGAATCATTTATTGGTTGCATGAAAGACTTGAAATTTGAAAATTCTGCTGGCAAATATGTTGCTGTTAAAATCAACACCCAACAAAATATGACACAGGGCTGTCAGAACATGTGCTACACGGAAAGCCCTTGTCAGTACAACAGTACTTGTATAAATCATTATTACTATGTTACTTGTGAATGCTTTGGCACAGATTATGAAGGACAGTTTTGTGAAAAAGAAGGTAATGTTATTTTATTTTACAATTGTTTATAAATTTCAGATAAAGAGAAAATTGTGACTAATCTTGAAACAAATAGGCTTAAATAGATTGACTGCTTGACACATTTTCTAAGAATTGGTTACTTCCTGGACAAGAAGACTAGACATATCTAGTGAATGTTTCTTTTTAATTTAAAAGAATTTTTAATACTCTTGATTGTAGCTTTTGTTTTAGTTTAATATTATTTCAGTTCAGATAATATATATGTGAGAAGATTAATTTAAGATATAAATGTCAATCTAATTAAGTTTATTACATCATTAATTAATGTGTTTCAGTTTTTGTTGACTTACTCAGCTCCTCAATGAACTGCCACTTATTAAATTATTAATCAGTGTTAGATTTCTTTTAACAGATGTGTTTGAAGTTTTCTTGTATTATGGCAGTAAAATTATTAATTCAAAATTCCTTTTTATAAAATTGCGAATCTTTTCCATTGAAAAAGATGATTTCCATAACAACATGGCTGCTGCTCATATAGAGATGACTTCCATGGTTACTTTTGCTTTCCTCTGTTGTTTGAGTTGTCAAAAGCCAAAAATAAATTTGCTTCATAAAAGATATATTGAACCTTCCTATTAGAGAATTATCCAATCATTTACTCATTGACCAATATACCTAATGATTTTGTATGCAATCTGGCTTTTGGCAAGTTAATCTTCCTCTACTAAGCAAACTTTTAGAAAATCCTTCCTGATATTATTAATAGAAAAAAAATCTTTTATTTAAAGCATGGAAATTATTTATGTTTACCTTTTGTAGAAACCAGATACTAAATTATTCCTTATTTTAAACAAATTTTATTTTAAATTTAAAAAAAAAAAATGAAAAAATTCATAGACAAAAATTATTTAGTCAGAACATTCCTCTCTATCAGAAGGAACAGTGTAGCAGAACCATTGCCTTACTCAGAACTGCATGCAATCACTGCAAAAGAGTTCCTGGAAAATGCAAAGAGCCGTTAAATGCAGGTAGTCTAAGCTAAAGTAGAAAACAAAATCCCACAAATTCTTGAAAATTGCAAACACAATATTCAACAGAGGCAAACCTGTCAGTGCTCTCCATTATAAATGTCCCTGAAGTTATCTTATCCTTGTCAGATAAAGCTGAGTTCTTAGCTATGAACTTTGCCTCTAACTCTGGGTTAAATGGCAAAGATCATTCCTTACCTTAAACTTCTCTCACCTCACAGACCACAAGCTCTGTGAAATCTCTATACCAGCTCAGGTTTCCAAACTTATCAAATTCTTTGAATTTACATATGCTACTGGTTTGGATAAAATACCTATAGTTGTTCTCTAGAACTTTGGTCCGGAGCTATCTCCAGTCTTGGTGAAGCTGAACCACTGCCTTAAGAAGAAATGTTTCCCAAACCCATGGAAGATGTTTAGTATATTGTCTGTGTACAAGAGCACAGGTGAGCACTCGTCCACATCATAATAACCTACATCAACCCCTTTTAGTTTCATTAGCAAACACTATCGTTAACAAGAAAGTTGATACTATTTACATTATTTGGACTATTTTTATAGGACTATATTTATTACGACGTTTCGGTCACTGGGGTAGACTGTTCTAGTTCCACGTGCCATGTTTAATGGATGTCAGTTGTCAGTTATCTCCTGTTAATTCCCCTCTCCAAGTTCTCCACTGCCTTAACCGGGTATTGAACTCACACTCTTTGGCTCCTGTCACTGGATCTAACTAACGCCTTTATCCACTGTGCCATGTGAGCTGTTAGAGAAACAAAAAGCATTTAATTAAAAGAAATTGATTTTGCACTTTGAATTGTCTGAGTTTGAACTCATTTAACATGGTCTAACTAGTTTAAAATATTGGTAAAACAGTGAGCACCCCCCCCATTCTTACCACTAGAAAAAATAACAGTTGGACTTTACCAGATGACCATGCTTGGAAGAATTTTGGTCAAAATTCATTAATGGAATTTTATTTTTTTAATACTACTCCTCTATGCTGCCTTGATTGTCTATGAGGTCAAAATATACAACATGTGACCCAAAGAATGAATTTCCCCTACCCCTCAGATCTTATTATTATAAACATATGCAAATTGACTTGTAGTTTGATACCTAAAAGAAATACAGGAAAGAAAACAGTAATAGTAAGCAGTCATCAGTGTTTTATAGTCATTACCTCTTACTAAAATTCACCATAAATACCACCTCATACCAACATTAAACAAAAGATATCAGCATCAATAAAAATTCCACATTGTTCAGGCTTGTTGCTTTTATCTCATTGTTTTATAAAAATCTTATTTATTTGTTATTAACACAATAGTGAAATACAAAATGGTGTCAGAAGCACAGAACTAATAATTCCCACAATCCAGGAATAGCAAAAGAAAAGAGATGGAATTTCTACCTCATCCAAAAGAATTGAGCTTCACTGTGGAAAACTTAGCACAAATATGGATAAAATGGCACAATCAATTCAAATATGGATCAAAATGGCGCAATCAATTCAAATATGGATAAAATGGCACAATCGATTCAAACTATACTTACAAGCTACAGAATTGGATATAAAGTCTGGAAAAATAATAACCTCAATTCTATTAACATGTATAGGATCAAGCAAGAGGCAGAGACATATATTCAATGTTTGTATTTAAGAATGAAGAACAGAAGAATGATCTACAGGTGGTGATAGAAAAAATTAATATGTTTCTGCCAACCGAGGAAGAATCTAACGTTCCTCACGTTTTTCATGTTCAAACAAAAAGAACAACAGAAATTTGATGATTATGTAAGAGAATTATGCCACAAAGTGAATCCATGTGAATTTGGGCAAACCTCAGACAGATTAATAAAAGACATGTTAGTATGCAGCATTATAGACAATGCATTACACAGAAAACTGGAATTAAATTTAGAAAAAGCAATACGAAGGGGTCAATAGGTGAAAAAACCAGAAGACAGTCAAAAATAACAAATACTTCATGAGAAATAGAAAGTATCTCCATGATATATGACTGGAAAAAAATGGTTCAAAAACCAAAATTAAAATGAGATTAAAAAAAAAAATGGCTACTACAAGTCAAGAAAACGAAAAGCCTGCAAAAAAGTACAACTGGATAAACTCCTGTGAATACTGCTCAGGTTCACACAACAAAAATAACTGTTCAACATTTTACAAAAACTGTAAGAATTTCAGAAAAAAAGGACACTTTGCTAAAATGTGCAAATCAAAGAAAAAGAATTTATATAGAATAAAAACATCCAACAGCAGAGAAACATCAAACCACAAGCAGTATGACATGGATGCCATTCAAAAGAACAATATAAATTCAGTAGAACAAAACTGAGGGACAATCAATCTTGGAGTGAATGAAGCATTGGTAATATTTATAATAGATACAGGTGCAGAAGTGAATGAATTTCCTATGAGAATATATAAAAATCTTACCCCAAAATCAAAATTACATAGAACATCAGTAAAACTGAATACTTATAATAATATGAACATTCTGGTCATAGGAAGTTGCACAGCAACTTTATACAGCTAAAATTCAGAATTAATAATGCATTTCATAATAGCAAAAAACAATTCAAATACAGTCCTCAATGTAAAACCATCTGAAAAGCTAAAGTTAATAAAAAGAATTTCAAAAATGAATAAAAAATACACACTAAGTTTATTAGAGGAATATGAAAACTGTTTTGGAGAGATAGGAAAATTACTGTTTACACACCATATAAATGTCTAGGACATTGCTTTTGCTTTTACAATATGTTGTGAATAAGGCCTACCCTAAAAATGAATATAAGCACTTGCATAGACCTTATAAAATATTACCTTATTAAATATATTACTTTATTCATACTAAAGAAATAAATATAACCACTTTGGTTACATTTCTTTTTAGTGTAGGCCTTTATTTTTTATTTTTTTTTTTTTAATCATTTCACCCTGCATAAGGCAGGAATGCCACTGGTACACAGGGGGTTACAGAGAGTGAAAAGAGTGGGTATAGGGATGTCCAAGAAATGGATAAAAGCTGAATGGAGTTCAAAAAGATAGAAGATGGCAATTGACATTGTATTTAAATTTTTGAAGATTGTAGTTATCAGAGAAGCAAAGAAATGGAACTAGAACAATCTACCCCAGTGAACCAAATAAAGTGTTTGGTTCAAAATTCCAATCACCTGAAGAAGGCCAGAGTGTACAATGGCTGAAATGTTATGAATATGGCAATGAAGATGAGGATAACAGTCCAAATAATGTAAATAATGTGAGTAAATGGTAGTGTTATCAGTATAAATGCCTACTTAGGAACTGGTGACATCAGAAAGATTATTAATAAAGATCAGAAACAATGTAGGACCCAGGATAGAGCCTTGGGGAACACCCACATTTGTGTGAAAGGATCTGTAAGTGAGCCTGTTCAAAATGACCTTCATTTCACGATTTGATAGAAATGATTGGATTAAATCAAACAATTGTCCAGTAATACCATCGTTCTAGAGCTAACATAGAAGACCAGCAAGCCAACCTCTATCAAATACCTTTGAGATATCAATAGCATGATATAAATATTCAGTTATGGCCATTCGCACATCAGCAGTAGATTGGACAAAATGAAAGCCATATTGTTTGTCTGAGAATAGGTCGTGAGAGGTAAGATGCTTAACTACTTCAGCATTGATTAAAGCCTCAAATACTTTGCCAAAAAGTGGTAGGAAACTAATAAGGTGATAGTTAGAAGGGTCAGAAGCCTCTCCAGAGTTCTTAAAAACAGGAACAACAGAGGACTTCCAAGAACCTGGAAAGCAGTAGCTGTAAAATTTGGAGAAAAATGGAGCCATCTCAGGAGCACCTTTTTTTTAGGATGATGCTTGGGATCCTGTCATCTTCATTTGCCTTATGGGAGTTATTAGAAATAATGTCCACAACCCATGATGGGGTTATGTGCATATCACTCAATAGAATCTCTGTCCTATTGAGAAAATCAAGTGTGAGTACTCCAAATGAGTTAAGTGTTGAGTTGGAAGAGAATTTCTGAGCAAAGCATTCAACCTTATATGCTGTAGATGCCAGGACTTGGAATTGATTGAATAGAGGAGGGTTTGAGGTTTTTTTGTTGTTCAGCACACTCTTGTAGAGCTGCCAATAATCTCTAGAACTGAATTTGCAAAATACTATATATTGGTTCATTCTATCAGCAAACAGTAATTTTACTTCTTTGAGGACATGCTTGCGCTCATTATGAGCAGTGACAAAAGAGGCATCTGTTACAATCAGATATATCACTCTGGTACAGCCAGAAGAAGTGATTCCTGTGGGCTATAGCGGACCAAGCATGCAGGTGAGAACCAAAAAGATGAGTGTGATTTAACTTGGTATTTTCTTGCTGGAATGAAAACACTGATGCTGGCTTTCACACAGGAGGAGACCTCAAATGCACATTTTTGAACAGGAAGATTAAAAACTTCATTCCAAAGGATATCACAAAGGAAATCCTGGAATGACTCCTAATCTGCATGGTGATAACAGAAAGATATTCTGTTGACAGGAGGTTCTTGTTTGCTGGGAGAGCAGAAAGAGATGCTTACAGACACTACCATATGATCAGAGTTGCTAAGAGGGCAGAACTGTATGGTACAACACAAGTCTGGAATAGATGTAAAAAAGATCTAGAATCCATCAAAATTATTGTGGGAACGTGGGGAAGTCCACCACTTGTGTGAGAGATTGAGTGATTGAGATGTTTAGGGTGTAGATGCCAGTGAGATCATTGATGGAGTGCTTAAGCTACCTCATTAAATATTATTACCTTTATTAAATATATTACCTTATTCTTATTGAAAAAAATAAATATAACCACATGGTTATATCACTTTTTAGTGTAGACATCATTGAATAATATTACCTTATTAAATATATTATCTTATTCTTACTGAAAAAAATAAATATAACCAAATGGTTATATCACTTTTTAGTGTAGACCTCATTGAATAATATTACCTTATTAAATATATTACCTTATTCTTACTGAAAAAATAAATATAACCACATGGTTATATCACTTTTTTAGTGTAGGCCTCATTGAATAATATTACCTTATTTAATATATTACCTTATTCTTACTGAAAATGAATATAACTACTTGTGGTAGTTATATATTTATTAATATATGTAGGTTAGAATATCTGTATACATATATATTTAAGTGTATTTTTAATGATCCTCTGAACAAAACCTTTATTATCTGGTATTAACTTTGTCCAACCTTTCTACTGCTATACTAACAATTATGTATCCAACTTGCAGATGTCATATGATCTTATTATAATGACGAGTAATAACGATTCTTTTGCTATCCTTTTTCTCTTTAATTATTACACTATATCATTACGCCATTGCTTCATTGTGACAACTTCCTGCTGATATAGAATCATTGATGTGGTTCTTTTTTCTTTCACCCACCTCTTTACTAAATCAAAATGTTTGTCTCGACTGTTTGAATGAAGATCAATCTGGTTTATCAAACAGACAATTAACCTTTCTTCATTAACTCAGATAATTATGATTTCATAAAAAAGACATAACATCATTAACAATAGTAGTTGGGTCTGAAGTAATACAAAAACAAACATGAGAGAGTAAGAACAATAATCTACTGTGAACATCTCTCTACATTTATCTACAAACATCTTTGTGTTTGATGATTTTAATGTTCATCATGTCAAATGACTTGATCATTGTAATGTAACTAATATTGTTCGTATTCAGAATTGCAATGTTTCCATTATTCAATCTCTCTTAGTTCCTTACTCTCGTTCTTGATTTTGGTGAAAGGATTAAAAAAAAAAATAATTGTACAAATGACTTTAGTTTAATCATGTGAATAAATGATATCCAGATTATACGCTAGATTGAAAATAGAAAACAAAAGATGCTTATTTTGAATCCGGACCAACCACTCCTCTCAATCAAGAAGACCAAATGAAGATTCTGGATTTGAATTTACAAACAAACCAGAAGATGAAGACAAAAGATAGCACCAAAAAAAAAAAAAAAATTTGCTGGCCTTAGCACTACTTTGGTCTAAACAATCCTAATCAAATCTTCATTCTTCTGAATTTATCAACCTTCCAATAGACTAAGCTTGACTTGAAAATCACCATTCCAAATTTTGCCTCGACCACTAATGCTGTTAAGAAATCCACAACAATCTTGACCATCAAACAATCAATATCTCTTGATTTTGTTACTTAATTCATTATCTGTTGATTGATTGAAACTTTTATCTGTTATTTTCTCAGGTGTGACCAAAGTGACTCTTCGTGGCTATGAATGGCTTACTTACAAATTATATGACGTAGACACAGATGGTGACCCATCTATTGAAATATCAAGAATTAGCATGGAATTCAAGGTAATAATCATAATAATACATTTAAATATCATGATAATATTTTCATTGTATAATATTTTTTTGGTTATATAACAATGCATTCAATATATTGTTACAATAGTCAAGAAGGTATCATTAATGGTTTCAGATGGAAGTCTGGATGAAGTTCAATGAATGATTATCTGAAAAAAAAAATGTTTATTATATATATATATATATATAATAGAGAAAGAGAGAGAGAGAACAATTTTGGAGGAAAGTTCTATGATATAGTGAAAAGTTTTTTCCTACCTTGTCTCTCTATATATATATATATATATATATATATATATATATATATGTGTGTGTGTGTGTGTATATATATATATATATGTGTGTGTGTATATGTGCATGTTTGTTTAAAACATATGACCAATTCTTTTCGTAGTTTCAAAGAAATCTTATTTGTTATTTTTCAGACTGATCGTAACACAGGGATTTTGCTGTATGCTGTAGGAGGTGCTCCTCATTATTCCCATATCATTGCTTTGCTACATAGTGGCTTCGTCAATGTGTCTATTGCCTTTGAAAATCAGGATTGGGATTTTAGCATCAGTATCGAATTGGACAGGAATCGGTGAGTCTGCAAATTGCGTGCACAAATTCTCTTGTAGCAAATTGGTACAAAATATACAATTACATGCATCATTGTCTTTTTTTGTTTTCATTTTTTGAAAACTTTCCTGATTTAAAAATTTTTTTTTTTTTTTTGCTAAATAATACCCCTAAATAAGAGAATGTTAAAAATTGCTGTGGTTTTTCGAAAATTTCTAACTTTTTTTTATTACAGCCAAGTAAAAAATAAAAATAAAATTCTTTTTTGATATTTATTCTTTATGTGATATGAGTTAGAAATGTGCCTGCACTCCTGAATGTCATTGTTTTCGTTTTATTGATGGAATTTGATCTTGTTCTTAACTTGCAGATTTGCTCAAAATGACTTTAAGTAAGCAATTGATCATTTACTTGAACTTCTGGAAGTTAACTCAATAAAAAAAAAAAAAAAATTTAGATTGAACACACATAACCATATTCCCCCCCCACCCCATAATGGTTGAAATAAAAGTATTTTCTTGGTCTTTTAATGCTGTATTAGAAAGTTCCTAGACTAGACATAAAATGTATGTCATTACTTCAGGAAATAATATACTATTAAATTTGATCATCAGTTTTGAAATAATCCCCTTGGGGAAAATACACTCTTTTTTTTTTTTTTTTTTTTGATTTATTGCCCAGAATACTTTCTTGAAATGTCACTCAATTGACCTTGATATTTTTATCCTAAAACTTTTCTTCAAACCTAAAGAATCTTAGCTAAAATGCTGATAAAGTATTCCAAGCGTCTCAGTAGCAGATTTGCAAGCTATACACTTTTGAAAATGGCAAGTTTCTTGAATTTGTCAGTCTTTGTAAAGATTTCAGAACTGTTCCAATATGACTTTGTGTAATAATAGAACACAAGTAGATAGCATAAACCCAATTGGCAGACTGACTCGGTAGGTTGGGTAACTATGAGCATTAATGACATATACAGTTCTGTTGATAATTTTAATGATAGCACAGTCTGAAAACTTTCTGATACCACTTCATATATACAAAGTTGAGATATCTGATAGGGTAATGGTTACCTAGATGACATGCATTTTAACTAACCTGACTCCATAATACTGTTAATGTAAACAGAGAGTTCTTATCTGCTCCAAACACAGTATTGTGTTCTTAGTAGGGAGGAAAACTAATAATATGCATCATGCTTTCTCTTCAAGTTGAGCATTTGTATGAATTATGAGATATTGAAAGATGAGTTTTGCTTTGTATACTAAATTAAGATAAAAATATCTTTAGGGCAAGATTACATTATATATGTTAAATATAAAACATGTTAATTATAAAAACAGATTGTATAAGATGAGGGATATATCTTTCAATCCAAATATTTAATTAATATTGGTTTATGCTAAATCATAGAAATAGCTTTTAAAATATTTTGACATCATCCTTCTGTTGTTTTTAATGTAATGTTTTCTAAATTTAAGGAATTCAGAATGCAGAAATACCTTCAAGTGAAACTCATATCCTATAATATAAAGGAAAAAAACCTTGTTAAAATATTTGATATGTGATATGTCCCAAAAAGGGATATATTTGATCGAAGTAGCTGAGTGGGTTTGGCTATTGTACCCAAGTAGTACACGGTAGCAGTAATCGACTGGTACTTGCCGTAGTCACAAGTAATAGGTGTAGACCAATAGGACACCCAATGGCGTAGTTCAATGGGCGTTGTCATAGACTTAAACTCTGTCGTACCTACACATCCGTCTGTATATATGATGGACACCAGCCAATCATATTCCAGTGAGGGAGAACTCAGGTGTATGTATATTCCATTATATCAATATGATAAAAGGACTTTATTTCAGAATCTCAAAACAAGAGTAATAGTAGTACTACTAGTAGTAGTATTACTACTATTACTATTACTACAATGGTAACAAGAAGAAAATTTAAGAATACAATATCAAAAAGAGAAGAAAACAGTGAAAGAAAGATCAAGAATGAGAAGCGCCACCTAATTGGTAGCCTAAATGTTTAAAGTGTCATCTCCTGACATATGGGATAGGAATTTTATCCAAACTGATTTCTTTATGCTAAGTTCCTATAAACTTAGGATATGCTGATTGTGTCATGGATAATGGCTTGTAATGAGAAATTGGAGGGCAGAGTTTAAATTCCAGTCAGGTTCATTGCATTCACATCTGCAAATATCCTTGTTAAAAGTATGAACCCATCACCTCTCCCCAGTTAAAGGTTAAACAGTAAGACTTGTATATGGAAAAAAATCATTGTTATTTTTTAAAAAATTGTTAATGCAAAATTTACTCAAAAAAAAAAAAGATTCTTATAATCTAAAATATGTTTGGCTTTAAATAAACCATAAAAGGTTGATAAGCCATAAATAAAAAAAATAATCAGTCAGTCCAACCCCTAAATTTAATCTCATGGTTGAAAAATTGATTGGTTAAAAAATGTGATGAAAAGCAACAAAAGTAGATAAAAGAAAATTTGACTAAACATTTATCATAATTTCCCAGAGAATCTAAAAAATCTTTTACGACTTGCATTCAAAACTGGAAAATAATTTATAAGCCAAACATTCCTTTGTCCATTCTGCAAGAAAAATGATGGCATCACTTTTTGTTGTTCTTTCCTTAGGAATGTCTTTCGTTGGAGATTTTTTTACCAAAAAATTCAAATTGCAAACTTCCATGATTCTATTTTGCTAGCATTTACTTATCTTGCTTTTGTGATCTGCACTTATAAGTTCAATTGTACATCTCCTCACTAGGGTACTAATAGTTTAAAACTTTTTTGGTAAATTTGCTTTTTAATCGCTGTGCTAAATATCTATTAACATTTTCCCACATCGCTATATTTTCATGTAAATAGAAAGAAAAGGAAAAGAAGAAAGGGATACAAGAGAAGTTGTTGATAACAATTCAGCCAATGATAAATATATATGTGTGTGTGTGTGTGTGTGTGTGTATATATATATATATATATATATATATGTGTGTGTGTATGTGTGTCTATATATATATATGTGTGTGTGTGTGTGTGTGTCTCTCTCTCTCTCTATATATATATATATATATATATATATATATATATATATATATATATATATATATATATATGTGTGTGTGTGGATATGTATATGCGATTTGTACTTATCATCCTATTTTGGTTAGATATTTTTATGTCATGTTTTTTTGCTACTACTTCACCAATTGCCGTGTATTTAAACAAGAAACTGTCAGAGGATTAGAAAGTGTTGCTCTGATATCAATATTCATTCAAACTCCCCACCCTCTCCACAAGAGACAAATGTAGACAGAAAATAGTTTAGTTTTTCTCTCTTGATTGAAATTTTAACTTAGATTTTAAAAATCAATTCTTTTGTCAATCCTATAACCTTGAGTGATGTAAAAGTAGGTTTTTATTTCCTTTCAAAAGATATTTTTATATTACATTTTACACAGCATGTACACATTCCACAGCTTAAGGGATTTTACAAGTAGGTTAACTGTAGTTATCAGACATGAAAAACAGAATCTGACATTATTTAGCCTAAAGATTTCATCCTTTATATCCACAATCACATAAATTCGCTTTTAATTCTGATGATACATTATTTTTAACGAAACGAAACAAAGACATACTGATTTACAGAGAAGAAATTTTGTATTGATTCATTTTTCCTAATTAATTCCTCATTGTGATTTTGTTTGTCTTCTCCACTGAACCAAAATGAATTTTACACTACTTACATTGTTCGGACTGTTTTCCTCATCTTCATTGTCATATTCATAATGTTTCTGACGTTTTATGCTCCGGCCTTCTTCAGGTGATATACCTTAGAATTTCAAACAAAATCTTTTAGTCCACAGGGTAGATTGTTCTAGTTCCACATGTCATGCCATTTCTGGATATCTCAGCTTCAGTTAATTCCCTTTTAGTAACTCAACTCTCCAAGTGGAGTCTCTCAACTGTGGCCCTATATTAAAGTCAAAACTCTTTTGAGCCATTTATCATTCTGTAATCTTTAAGTTTTCAAATTATTTCAACTTTTCAACTCTCACAAATTTAATATTATTTGCGGTACTTTTTATTAATTTCCAGTTATCTCACACTTTTAGTATTTTTTTTTTCCCCGTTTCATACATGCAGACAACAAATTTTCTTCTCAATCAATATCTGGAGAGTCTTTGGAGTATTCCATTAATTTACTGTCATTAAAATATTTTTGGTAAGGTGCACAATAATCAGCATGGCTGAATATCAAGGAACATTGGCATGCATCAATATACTTCTTTAGTTTAAAGCTTTTGGTTGAAACATCTTATCTCAGAATTTGAATAATATCAAAATAAATGCAAAGGATTATATTAAAGTTCAAATTTGAAGGGACTTATAATTTTACTACCTATAATACTAAGCCAAAACATTACTATGCCTTCCAACTATAGTCTTCTAAGTTATAGTAGTTGCTGATTTCCCTGAAAGACCAAACCTCTAGCTCAGCCATCAAATTCATCCAATGTAGCTCTACATTCATCACTACAAATTATGAAATCAGGTTTCATATACATTTTTGCCCAAATTACATGTTTCTCTTTATGATTTTTACTTAAAGATTGTAGTGTGTTTGCTTTCGTACCTTCAGCAAATGTTCTTAATATTTTTTTGTTGTTTTTTGTATTTCAACACCAATATCTTCAAATCTTTTCTTGTCAATCCAATTATAACCAAAAAGTTTGCAATAAAATAAAAGCTTTTAATATATATATATATATATATATATATATATATATATATATATATATGCAATTGTTATTTGTCTGTCTTGCTATTGGCATCTTACAATATGCAAAATTTATTTTATTTATTTCCACTTCCATTTTTCATTGGCCTTGTTCTAAATCTATCACATTTGTGCTTCTCATTTAAAAAATTTTCTATCTGTGAACATGTTCCTCTTTTTTCATTTTGTTTGTATCTACACAACTTCTCTATAACTCAT